GCCTGACCCGTGACACCGCGGGCTCTCACCCTTCATTTTATCGACACCACCACCTCCACCGGCTGGAAAGAAAATAAGAAATGTTGACCAAAATAATATCTGCATGATGCATTTTCATCGATGTTTTAATTGTGGTTGAAATACTTATCATGTTTGAGCGCTTTTACCTAATGTGTCACAAAAAACAATGCTCATTGAACAAAATCGTATACAAGCTTGTGCAAGTTTTCTTCAGAGTCAAAGGGGTCTCCGGAAAGTATGTTTTTTTATTTTTCAAAAAGCTGTTACAGACTTTACGCTAGATAATTCAATCTGATGTCTTTCTTGATAGTCCATATATATTCGCTTTGAAAAGAAAGATTTTAAACAATGTCACTTTCCGATAAGCGACAATCTGATCCTGCCGCGGAAACTATTTCAACAAAGTTTGCGTTGTTTCAGATAGGATACCGTTTCACAAGGACTTCGAGATCCGGTGTGGCGGAGTTGTAGGTTGTAACAAAAAGCATAGCGCACATAGGTTTGTCTCGATGAGAGGTTTACTTCGAACAGAAACTGGTTAGGAAGCGGCTATGCGAATATCCATCGCTTGGCACTGACACGGAGATGAACAGTCGTTTTAGTACGTGCTCAAACATTGGAATAATTTAACATAAAAAGATGATTTAAATCCTGTTATTCCTGTAACGATGACAGCATTTTTGGGCCGCAAATTCCGCGCGAGTGGCTCGGAGGTGAATAGCAAAAGATATTCGGAATTTGAGTGGGTAATCAAAGGGGGCCTCTAACCCTATCCATTTTGTTAGTATATATTAATGAAAATTAATGCTTAGTCACTCACCGATTAAAAGTGCTGTGTTGTCATCATTGACCACTAAACTTCCTCCTCCTCCCCCTGCTCCTCCGGAAACAGAGTTAACTCCTCCCTCCTGACCGACAAGGATCTTAAGAACATCCCCTCGTTTCAGATGAAAATTGCCCTTTACGCGAGCTCCCTTTCCACGCTTGCTTGCTGTTGGATTGACAAAAAACATAGTCAAGCAAACTCAAAAATCCAAAGTTTGGCATACTAAAGCTTAATTAAGTTTACATTCTAAATTCAACGCACACATTTGATTTCTAAAGGAAGTTAAGATTTTCTTCTTTTATCGGTGGAGTGGGACATGAATTAAAAATAAAGAATTAGGTCTCATAATAAGAGAAACGCGGTTGATTTTGATCGCAGTAATGAAATAAGGGAAGATGTCTTTTAGAATCAGTCGTCATTTATCGCCTAGGAGCAGGGTGGAGTTCGGGTGACTTTTTTCTTTTCTGAGACGGGGGGGGAGGTTATATGATTTTTAGAGGAAATGGAGGGGGTATAACCAGTCGCTAAAAGAGTATGAAAAAGGAGGCTATGGAATCTTGAATACAGAGCCTTACGGGAGGAAACAGATAAACGTTATTGTGATACAGCCAAAATCCTACGAATCCTAGGCGATATATTGATAATGACCGCTCCCATTGTTGTATAGTTACCGAAACGAGCATTTTTCAATTGTAAATAGCCCGTAGTTGCAATTCAGGATCTAATGAAAACCTTGTGACGAGAGAACAAACCTCGCACAAACTACACCAAACTCTGAACTAGTGAATTACCAATACGATCGCCATATTGCTGTGTGATATATCACAGTGACCGCTCCTATTGACTTACATGAAGTGAACTTGTCATTTCCACCAGCAGCTCCAGCAGCTTCAATTGTGTACATTCCAGTGGCTGGGATCTTCCACATTTGGATTCCCTTGTTAACAGTCACTTGACCCTCGTGATCTTGACCCTGGTAATAGGTTCCTACTGATGTGGGACCCAGGCGGCCTGTGGCTCCGAGTGTTGTGAACTTTGCCATAGAAAATACTGTGAAAAGAAGTCCAAAGTCTAAGAGCTGATATCAGCCGATGTTGATAGAGCAGTAAACGCCTAGCGTAGTTCAGGGGTTTTGAGGAAAAGCTATGGGATTTTACTGTTTAGTTTCCGGAAGTAGAAGTATCACCGTACCGATGGTTTTGAAAAGGATATGAACTAAACTAGATGAGTGTAGTGCACATATTTGTGCGAGTAAAGTGTCTGCCGTTCTTATGTCAAATTTTACGAATAACTCAATAGATCATCTCGATATGTTTGACGAAGCTCTGTAAGGTCATTATGCCATGGAGCAAACCATTTTTTGCCTTCAATAGAAAAACAAAGAAATCAGGGCTTTACAACCTCGGCAAGTTACTCTCTCCCCGTGAGCTCTCTTAAGGAGACTGGGTAAGATTTCGCATACTCACCATTATATCTCTTGCTCACGCTGTGCTCAGGGTTAAAAATAATCCACTGAGTGACAAAATTTCTGAAGTACTTCTCACAAGAAGCCTCCACTTACATCAGTGAAGGCATTCGATCCGGTTTGTCCTCCTCTGATGCGATGTGAACCGAGCCGACAAAGACTGGGTACGGGAATTCGTACGCAATCCACTGCATGCCTGGAGGAGCAGCACCGTTGGAAATCCAAAGGCTTTCGGGGTTGTTGTCGAATGCCATACTGGGAGCATATCCTGTAGAAGGAACAGTAATGCTAGATTAAAGAGACGGTTATTATTTCCGTTTAATTCAAACGCTAGAAGAAAGATAAAATTTTAAACTCGGAGTGAAAAATGTAAGGATCCCAACACACTGAGTGAAACAACATGTAAATTATACCATTCTCAAGAGAATATGAAGTGTTCATATTCTCTTGACTATTACACAATACTATAGGACGAAACCCGGCAGTTTAAACTTCCTTTTTGGAAATAAAGTAGATAAGAAATTCAGAGAAAAAGCCAGAAAAATAAAAGAATAAAAAGAAAAAAACCCGACGACAACAACAACAACAAAAAAACAAAAACAAAAAATAAACGTCCGATACAATTTCCCCTAAAAGACTAACTAGAGTATTCAGGAATTGTCCTTAAAAGCAAAGAATTTTAAACACAAAGAAACAACATGCAAATTATACCATTCTCAAGAGAATATAAAGTGTTCATATTCTCTTGACTATTACACAATACTATAGGACGAAACCCGGCAGTTTTAACTTCCTTTTTGGAAAAAAAGTAGATAAAAAATTCAGAGAAAAAGCCAGAAAAACAAAAGAAAAAAAAAAAACCCGACGACAACAACAACAACAAAAAAACAAAACAAAAAAGCGTCCGATACAGTTTCCCCTTAAAAGACTAACTAGAGTATTCAGGAATTGTCCTTAGAAGCAAGGAATTTGAAACACAAAGATCCACTTCTCTCTTCATTTAACCCCTTCCTTCCCTATTCAGTTGCTAAATATTTTTTGGTATTTTTTTCTGACTTTTCCTGAAATTATGTCAACAAACACGCTCTACATCAACACATCTGTATTCTCCGAAAGATCACAATAAATTACAGACATTTACCACAGCTTTAAATGAGGTCTACTCCACTCACCAGGTCCAAAGTAGCTGCTGGCATAACCTCTCTTAGGCTCAGCGTTAAGCGCTTTAGTGGAAGTTGGGGTGTCATAAAACTTGATGCCCGATACAACCCATAAGAAAGGAACATCCGCTGCATTACGTATTCTCCAGTAAGGGTAGCTGCCGTTCGTGTAGGGACACTTATCAGGACAGAAGCCAGACTCTGAGTCACATTCATGCTTGCCTGTTGAGAAGAAGATAAAAGGTAAAGTTTACTCGAGCCAAGTAGATAAACCCAGGCGGAGCTTATTTCATCCTCGGCGGTTTTATTAGCATTCGAAGCGACTAGGAGTATCACCACTTACTTTTAGTACAACTTAACGCGGAAAAAATGGAGAAATAAATAAATAAATGGTCTTCAGACATAAGATTCCTAGATATATTGCAAACTAGAATAACGGTCCTAACGAAGCTGTACCCGTGAAATTTTCGATTATTTGCAAAAGGAAAAAAAATTAAGTCAAGAGAAAAATATTTCTTAAAAAAACCTCAGAGACTGCCTAAACCCTTAAAAAGTGGCTTAAATCAAGCAAAGTTCATGCCGATGTGCTTCAAATTTTTAGCGTCATCCAGGACAAAAGACAACTAGCTAGTTTTAGAGGGAAGGTGATAAACAATCATATGAATAATGAATCGAATAGTTCGGTCGACTTTGTCCAGAGGATAATTTCTCCTGACGCGTTTTTACCAGTCTGTAGTGCAAACTAATAAATTAGCAGGGAAATTTTCGAATGAAAATAATATAGCCCTTACCACAAAATTGCTCTATAAAGAATTCGCGAAAATAAAACCTAAGTTTGTTAAAAAACATTTTCTAAGAGAGTCATTTCAGTACTTAACGCAAACTGAGTTTGATAAATATTTCGGCTCGTAACATTGTCATTATAGTCATCGAACGTGGACGATTACAATTCAGCAGTAGGCATATTTGGAGACAAAAAACTTAAATTAATAATAGAAATAATATTAAAGGGAATTGGATGTTGGAGTATAGTTAGAGTTGAACTTCTTACGAACCTGATTAAAATGTTTTTTGGACCCAGTTTCAAGAAGTGTTTTCAAACCAGGCATCCATCCCCGCCAGCTAATGGAAGAGAGCTGACCTCGATCTTCACAGCATTTACCTCTAAAAAAGGTGTTAATAACAGCCGTTTACCGGCGTTTTATCGTCGCCAGTAAGACCTTTTCATCGCTTTCTGTTAAGCCTGCGAGTGGGCCTTCATATTTAGGTCTCGGCACAGCTGGCTGTTATCTACGCGCTGTAGCCGCTTATGGAGAAAGTTATTGAAAAGCCTACCTTTAAATTTGTTTGAAATGATACCAATTAACAATATAATGGGTTTATGCAGAAATTACCTTCGTTGTGTTGCTTGCAGATAGCCACTCTCTTATCTCTGTATTTCTTATCTGTGTGCCATTCCCAACTGAGACAATATCCTGGTTTGAATGGTCTGTTCCACGGAGGGATTACGAAATGCGCGTAAACGTTAGGGTCTTTTTCAAAGCCAAATTGGCTTCCTTTGTGGAATTGGACTTTGGCATTGCTCTCAGAACCACCAAGACCCAAAAACCCATTACTAAGACCTAAGAAAGAACTTAGAATAAGCGCCAGAGAGGTTCGTCTGTCCATGATGGCTAAACTGGATCAGTAAACGGAGTGGTTCGTCATCGGAAATGATGTGGTATTTTCCCCGCGTTTCATGCCACGCTGGAAGAATCAAAATCCTTCTGTGATAGGCTGAATTTTGCAAACGTGTAAGATTACTGACACTGGTTTTGAATTTTAAAGCGATTGTACCTTATTTCTGCTTTTTAACAGTGCTCTGTTGGCACATTTCTTACACGAAGTTTTAGTCGCTTGGGAACGACTTTGAGCCCGCTGTATTAAGATGACCGCATCACAACTCGTGCAGCAAACGCCGAATGTAATGAGCGACGAGGATAAATCAAATGTACTAAAGTTTACTCTCTGACTTAGGTTACAAAGAGTATTTCTTTTTACTTGATCAAATTAATCAACTAAAAATAAAATGATTGCTGTTGACTTGAAAAATTCGGAAGATGTGATTTGTAGAGTTTTTATTACCGTTCGAGGCCGACTTCTTTCCTTGAAAGATAATCGTCAGCTAAGACCAAATTCAAAGAATTCCAATCGAAAGCTATAGAAAATTATTTGGGAATTTGTCTACCGATTACTCACGGGCGATAAAATTTCTAGGCAAATTTTCTCTGTTCTTTTACTGCACGCGTGATAAGTCGCTTAGTTTTTTTAGTTAAACAAGTTTTTGTTCAACAAAAGTTGTTCTTAAAAGATAATCGTCAGCTAAGACCAAATTCAAAGAAGTCCAGTCGAAAGCTATAGAAAATTATTTGGGAATTCGTCTACCGATTACTCACGGCCGATAAAATTTCTAGCAAAAATTTCTCTGTTCCTTTACTGCACGCGTGATAAGTCGCTTAATTTTTTTAGTTAAACAAGTTTTTGTTCAACAAAATTTGTTCTTATACGAAGAGATTAGATAACTTTCAACATTTCTTATGCTCAGAACGTTTCGCGTAAAGAACTCTGCGGACGCTGATTCTACTAAAACTTGGAATTTGCAATTTATTTGATGGGACTCTTCAGTTAAAAAAAGGCCGATTTTTGTTTTGGTTCACTTGACATAAACCGCACAAAGCGATTGTGTGACACACGTGTTGAAAGTATGCAAAATTTTGGAAGTGCGGAGGATTAAAAATTCTTTTGTAGTGAGACAAGCTCTGCCCTTAATTATGTTTCTAAGGGCGATTACTACGTAGTGTAACATATATCTAAGAATAATTTGAGAATGATTTCAAAGAGCTATTTTTACCAGGTTATGCGAGGAGAGAAGGCATCGCCAGTTTTTAGAACAGCAAGCGACACTAAAAGCGAGGTCACATAGACCAGATATAAAATCGAAATTTTCGATTAGCAAATTTCAGCTCTACGAAAGAAATGTAATATATAATCTGCCTGTTTTATCTTTTTTTTCACTATTTCTTCCTTTTAAAAACTGCATGATCTGTCAGGCCAGTCTTCAAGTAATTGGACAAGCTAAAAGGAAGCGAATCAAACGACAATCATGAAATACAACAATTTAAAATGGTAATGATAATAGCGATCATAATTTTTTTTTTTTTAATAAAATGCAAATCTTTATTCACTATAATCACTAAAAGTATTTACAGAAATTATGATGAAATGCTTAAAAATCGAAAACAAATGCGTCAAAATGTCCAGTAAAAGTTCCAGAAAAGCTCATGGATACACACTTCTTATAATAATCATAATGATGATAATAATTAAGGTATAAATATTACAAAACAGGTTTAAAAAGTCTCTAACTGAGAGAAAAGTTTTGAATCTCTTCGGTATTAACTTAATAATAATAATAGAATTTTCCTTAAAAATATCTCACAAAAAGCAGTTCTCTAAAAAAAAAAAATAAAAGTTCAGTAAACTAAGCTACATACTAAAAATCGACTACTTACATTCGGTGGTCTAAATTCGTGTATTAAAAATGGACGTCACAGAAGCAAAAATTATTTAATCCAGACTGTGTTATTATTCAACATAAGAAAAGGACCTTACTTTATACACATTTCACGCTGAAAAAGTCTTTACTAGTGTGGGTACGAAACGACGAAACTGACTGGGTACGAATGGTCTCAGCTGGGTTCGAATCGCCAGGGTATGAAGAGTCCTAGCTGGGTACGAAACGATTGGTAAGCCCGCAAAGTGCCAAGTCCTGTGGCTTGACGTATCAATTATTTCAGGGCCTTAATTGGGTGCACCGTCAACCGTCTCATATAACAAAATCATTGACCATCAATCGTCCAAAGAGTAACCATTTATCCTAAAATAAAATGGCGTCTGTGCATGTTTTAAATGGCCAAAAAATTAAATATTTGCATAATTGCATCTTGTTGCGAAAAATCAAAACTTAATTTTCCGTTTCAAACTGTTAACCTTCATCGAGAAAAAAAGAATTACCTCGAATGGCATAAAAAATTTGGACGCAACAGTGAAAACGGCCTTTCTATGACCGTCAACCCTTAGAGATACTACCCCTTCGGACTCTCATTATTTACTAAATCATCATTCTTTTTTTTTTTTTTTTTAATCACGGTTTTGCGCTACAAGCAAACCTTACTTGTACCCAGCATTCATTTTGACTGCGCGAAACTTGAGCGCCACTTCCGGGTGGACATATCGTACAGACTTCCGCTTTCCATTTAGACGCCGCTTTGTTTACGTCGGAGACGCATCTAAACCTAACCGCCGTTCACTGCGTGATGCCCGCGACAACATCCTTTGAAGCGTGTAATAAATTCAACAGGTGTAGCGACCTACCAGCCATGTTTTCACCTGTTACATAATAACAACAATGTCCACTTAAGCGACAGGTTATTTACACAATATGATCAACAGATCAAAGACCATCTCCATGACAACGTGTGACTGTGAAGTCGTTTCTATTTTGTCAATAAAATGGAATCACTAACCTTGATTAGTTAGTGCTTTCAAATGAAAAATTTTCAGAAAAATATGCATTTTTGAAATAATTAGGGGAATTATTAAGATTCCTATTGTCAAAAAGTACCCTTTCAATACCAACTGAGTCGAACTATATATATATTTTTTAAATCGATCACAGCGGTTTGTGAGCTGTTCACTTACGAGCAATAAATTTGAAGCCGACTTGTTTCTCTTTGTCTCCCATCCTTTGTCATGCGATCATTGTGCAAAACCAAAAGCGTCTGATGAAAAATAAAACAGCTTTGCTTATTCTTTTTGCGTAACTAACCACAACGGCTCGATTGTTCAGTGAGCTTGGATGTTGCGGTATCAGCTGCGTTCAGCCGAGTGAACACCTATGAACTGTAGTTTTGAGAACTTTTCTTCTGGCCTCGTGAAGTATATGCATAACTAGCTTATCCAGATAACCGCTCATATGGTTATGGCTCCGTCGTAAACCCTAGATTAACCAGCGTATGATGGCTTAGTTCCAAATGCTTGAATATGGGCCCCTATTGTCAGAAACTCAAGGTGAATGAAAATAGCTTTATGAAAAGCGTACGCTCTAAAATTGGCAAACATGGATGCTTCATTGAACGATCAATGGAATAAAACGTCTGATTCATTTATTTTGAGATAACGGCACGTTTAGGTGTAGCAATGGAATCTTAAACTCTGTATCAGGAGAAATAAGAAGGACATAGGTTTATTACTGACCACCTGATTCGCAGTGTCAATGAAATTAAGAAAGCTGTTGGCGTGGGGGTTTTTCGCTTTGAAGGTGACGTACCATAGAATTTATTCGTTTGTCCAGCTGAATTTAGTTGAATTAAAATCTATAATCAAGCCACATCATCTCTATGGAATGCAGCGTGAATCTTACTCGCTCTATGCATGCTTGACTCTGCTTGCTTGAGTAAGTTGCGCATTCACATGGAAGAGTTACTATGAGGCATCAAACTAAATTATTGGAAAATGCGGCCTTCGAAGATACAGTCCCAAAATTAAAGAGCTTTTTCGAAGATCTGGAGTAGGGTGCTTCTCCTAGGAGCTGTTCCTAAGGGTAGAAGTTTAACAAAGTTGACTTTATGGGTTAACAGCGAAAGGGAAAGTTAAGTTTGGCGGTAACTTGAACCGACCAATCATACGCCTTCTAGAACGATCGCCTTTGTTCTTTGTGTCGCCGTGTGTGGGCTGCCCGTGCCCCTAAGTAGTACCACCTGGGGAATACATGGTATCTGAAATTCGATGTTCCGACATGTATGGTGGCTTTGTATAGATTACCTGGGAATTCGCCCTTTCCTGTGCAACCCATCGAGACAGGCTCATTTTATAGTGACACTTTCAAGGCCAAAACATTTATTATGTTCATTATTATGTACATGACTGGCTGTGACTATCGCTCGTGTAAAACGTGACTGATTCACCTGGAGGCTTAATGAGACTCACTGAAGCGAAGTGCTGTTTTGTAAAGTCGTTAAACTATATCAAACAGCGACAAAAAATCTATCCTGATCCTCCTTCCTGGATGGCGAAATGAAGCAGAAAAAATTATAAATGTTAGGCTTTAGGTTGCAAATACACTGGTGTTACTCTTCCGACGATGGTTGATAGTTAAATAGAGGCATACACTGCCTGTCAATCTTACTTTTTGTTGGTAGTGATCAGCGAAATTATCAGAATTTGAGAATGCAAGCCTGCAAAATAAAGAGATTATACTTTAAACTGGTGCTCAACTTTTGATCCATAAAGGTTGTAATTCTAACACACGCTGCGTTCAAAGCTCCTTCGAGCGTGCTTTTTTTTTTGTCGATCCGATAACTTTGAAAAAAAAGTTTGTTTCGTTTGATCGCATCTGGAATCAAGCAGCCCCTTACCAACACCTCCCCGGGTGACATCCTTGTCGATATCACCCTCCATGCACGAGAAATTTGCTTTGTTGCTGGTCACCAGCCAAGAGATTTGAGAGCGAATGCATTAAATTTACATCAAAGCTTTCGTTTCCTTTCAAGATGCCCATTCATGTGTGACTGGTCGTTAACTCACTTCTAGCGCAACCTTAGTCCAAGATTTTCATCTTGTCTCTACGGTGAAGATGTGCCCAGGAAAATCAATTTTAAAGAAATAACTATGAATTAAAATCACTTGGACAGTTCTGTGATTTAGCGAGGCTTCATTACCTTGGTTGGCTAATTCAGGTACTGGAAATCAGGATTTTTCTTGGTACACTATTTTCAAAAGAGATTTAAGGAAAACAGGATTTGACCTTTCCAAGGTAAGACGAAATATTTTAAGAGTTAATACCTTTTTTTTTACATTGCACGAGAGAGAGTAGCTGCAAATATATCATTACGGAAATTTCCGAGAGAGAAATCGAAAACTGACTACTACTTATATTTAAAACGTACCATTTGAAATCAACTACACTGGTCCGAGGATGGAAATACTTTTTTATTTTTCTTTAGAGCATAAGAATGAAATATGTTGAGATTATCTTTTACTATATTTTCAGAATAATATAGAAAGCAGAGACTAAAACTTGTTAAAATTTGGTTGAACTAGACTTAAACGTCTTGACTGGCGCTAACCTTGTATGGCCATGACAACTCTATCCCAAAGTCATTTATGCTCACAAATTAATACGAAAAGAGTTAAGAGAATCTTACTTATCTTAGCAGTTATAATCTTATATGATGAATTAAGAAGAAAAGTAGTTTAGAACTGAGGTACTTTTAACTACAAGCAGGACTAACAGAGGGGTTATGTTTACTTGAAGCCAGTAATTAATAAGTAAGCAAGGTTTCTTGAACAGCGCCGTTCAAATTCTTCCTCAACAGTTGGTCCACCCCTCGTTCGGATGGCATTTTTGGACTCGCAATTCAACAAGGCCAGTCTATCCCAAATAAAGGTAAGCAAATATACACATTTTGAATTTTTTCTTGACAGGACTTCCTGCTATTTTTGTATTTATCTTTGATCTGAGCCCCTCTTGTACCACCGGGTGGATTGCTTGTACTGAATTGATCAAAGTGACAAAACCAAAAAGAAACAAGTGGGTATTTTCTTTCCAAATTTTCCTAGATAATCTTTGAAAATAACATACACCGTTTTACTCAGTGTAGATATCTGTGGAACAGCAAAATAAGAAACCAAATTTGGTGCTTTATTTGAACTCTTCTTGGTAAGATTTCCACTTGCTTGGACGCGTTGTAAATTCGTTCATAACTTTAAGTTGCGTAGATGAACTCTCGATAAATACAAAAGTGAAGAATTTTTTTTTATTGTGAGAAAATATAGTTTTCTTACAGTCGTTTGTAGCTGACTTTCATCGCAGTCAACATTGGGTGGGCAACGTTAATGATCGAGGTTATTTGTTTTTCCAAATTTGAAGGACACCTTTGTACCAATTTTTCTAGGTCAACATGCTTTTTGGGGGGGTTAAAATTTTCTAACCTCACTTATTCGGAACTAACACTCCAGGATCTTGTCTTATATTCAAAGCATGTAAAGATAGAATAATGAAATACAGGCGTAACGTTTATCAATCAGCTTACTTTTCACTAGCATTGGAAAAAACTATGCCCTTCTTATAACGTTCTAGGGCAACAGACCCATTTATGGCCTCCAGGGTAATCATCATGAATTATTAATAATTCAAGCTAATTTAACTCCTGGATAAAATGCTTCTTAATATTTTTTTTTAACTCAAATTCTACAAGTTTCCACTGAGGAGGTTACCCATATTTTTAAGCATTGTTTCAATCGCTAAATTCAAACTTTTATCGATGAAAAAAACGGGCATGGACTTTCGTAGCGGAATCAAATTGGTCACCCGACAAACAAAAGTGACCGATTACGATGAAATAAGGGGTCATATTGACCCCCGAAGCGCGCGTGGTCGGGCGACACGAATACCTCGGAGATATGGTTACAGCACTATGTGACATGCCCTAAATCACTGAATGAAACGCCGGGTTCAAACCTTCCCTCCTAATCATACATTCATTTGTTACATTGGCCCTAATTAATTCAGACACCTATACCATCAACCAATAAAACAGCGGTTGTACAATTGTAACTTTCTTTTAGTTTGTTTGATGCAATAATCTAAGCAAACAAAACAGCATCTCTTGTTTTCTTCACGGATGGACGATGGAACAAATAGATTCTCTAAGCAAACATGAGCGAACTGCTGTGTATGCCCTCTATCGGCCTGTCACCTAGCGAGTAGTTTAATTTGCTCATTTCATTTTTCTCTCTATTTGAGATTCGTGACCCATGTTAGTTATGATGTAATGGTTAGGTAAGGCGGTGGACTGCACTTGGGTGTAATCGCTTAAGAAAATTACAGCAATGAGCTGATTCACTTGGTTAGGTCGATCGCACAGGCTAACCTCTTCGTTTGAAATTCCCCAACGAAATCCGACCTTTATGCGATTTACGTGCTTCAGCAGATGCCTTTGATTTAGTTCAGACAGCTGATCAAAGCAAGGGTAAACGTTTGAGGTGTTTTTTTTCTCACAAATTGAGGATTTCCAAAGAAACTAATTGTCAGCTATAGTATACAGCCGCTGCTCTTTAAAACGCATCGAGGGGATCGAAGACAAAAAAGGTATTTACTGACGAGCTTTGAAGAGTATCACAACGGTAGGGCACTTGCGTTTTGCTTTGCGATAACAAAAAAGACTGTCTTAGTTACTTTAGCATTTTTAAAACTAGTTTGACCTAGTTTATTTGCTATAAAGTACCCTTACCACTCGTCTATAAGCATGACGTCACCAACATTCAGGTCGTTCTGCTTCGAAAAAATAGTTCATGTTAGACTACTTAATTTGAGCGGGGCTGGAATGGTAGCTTTGATTAACTTCTTCGTTGATAAATTGTTTAGTTATAAGATATCTCTATTACAAACAATGTTGTATCGAATTCGACGGAGCATATTCTTGCTTGAATTGGTTATTGCATCTCTGTCACCATTTTTACAGCTGCATTTAGTGATCAGTTCACTTCGATGGCGAGGAGACGCAAACAACTAAAAAAATTATATCCTTAAATTCATCGAAACAGTTAAGTCATTTTATTAATAGCGACTGTCCAGTGTCTTGGCTGTTCTTCTCATATAGTTTTAATGTTAAAAACAAGTTCTTCTCTCCATTAAGAGTAGAAAATAAGACTGCCTCAGCTGCGGCTGTACATGTACTTGATATTGTTTGCGCAATGTACGCGAATTTATTGCCGAGAGAAGTTTATTGAGCCATAGAGAGCAGATTGAATTTCTTACTATTCTTAATCAGTGGATGTAAGCTTCTTACCATGAATATAAGGAAAAAATGACCCGTTAGAAACATTTGAAAGTGGGAGTGGAACAAGTTAGACAGTCCTTTGACTTCGATCATACGTTACTTGATTTCTGCTATAGATCTCCCTAGCTTGAATAGATCTTCAATTGAAATCTCTACTTAGAAAATTCGTTTTACGGATTTAAAAATTCTCAGTTTGATCTCATTTTTCCCACGTGACCTTTTGTAAAACTGCTTATAGGTAAGCCAGTAAGAAAAGCCGAATTCTACGTACAACTTATCCGTAAGGTTGGTTTGATGGGTCATGAGTCAATGGTTATCGAAACAACATTGAATAGATCTTAGGACCTAACAAACAACTTTGCAGAAGACGATGTAAAAATGGCGTCGGCTGTTTGATGCAGATGATCAGGGAGTGAAGTGCAATTTTCACGAGATCGTGTCCATCAAGAATAGTTCTCTACATTTGAGGGATATCACAATTTTACCTCATAGAATTTAATTCACTTAACGAGGAGCTAACGCTCGAAAAGTCAGCTTTAAGAACTTTTCACGGTGGCCAATTTATATTTTCAATATATAATATTGATAAAACTAATTATCCTGTAATATCCCCCAACGACTCAGCATCAAATTTTCTTTAGAAAGCTGCCCCCTTTTACCTTGTTTCACTCTGACGACGTAAGCTTTGGTCAATTCACATCAAAAAATTGAAACCGAATTACAAAGTTGCAAGATGACAGAGAAAGAAAAGTAGACTATTTTCTAGTTTTAAAACTAACGAGTTCTTGAATTCAAATTTAAATCGCACCGTCAAGTAAAATTGTCTACCCGAAAGCTATTACTTTCATCTTTAAAACAAAGAAAGAGTAGGTTTAAATTTGGGGCAACTCTGAAAGAAATGATCAAGATTGTTCTCGTTGAAGGAAAAATTCAGATTTACTGTAGTGTTCGACATAGTTCTAAAATTTTGGTATTACCTATTTTTTTAAAATAACGTTGACCTTTGAAGAGAAAAGTTCTATGACCCTATTTCACCCTGTCAGAGCTTCCGGACATTTTTCCCCCGACTTATTTTTCAAGCCGTTTCTTACAAATTCTCGACATTTTTCCGACGCCCCCATGGCATGTGGTAAGCGGTGTTACTACTAACACACTGATTAAACCCGCTGCTGTGTGCCATATAAGGGAATAAGTAAATAGTAAGGTTCAAGTCCTGGCTACGGGTGGCAAAAATCTTCCAGATGGGTTCAAATCGAGCGGGAACATGACTGCTCAATAACAAGACAATTTACAACGGGGTTACAGAATTCCTATTTTCACTTCATCATGAGAAAGGAAACATTATGAATCATTTAAGATATTAAGTGAGTTTTAGATTGCTTTTATTCTTAATTCTTCACCACAAAAGTGGAGAATGAACAGTCGTTGGCGAAATGTGTTTGATGGAATTCCTGCTATTGTTTCAGAACACGATCCGAGAATTAAGTGGAAGAGTCGCCGGTTGGAGTTGCGAATCAATGATGCCCCACAGAGGTAACCCTTAGTTAATTTTATTTTAATTTTTTTTTCAGAATTTCTTATGCGGTGGGGAAAAATATCCTTTCTCTTTTTTAAAGCCGCTTAGTTTAGCTGCTTGCCAAATGATTTATTAATTCAATGCATTCCACGGCTTGTCATGCAAACTTACCGTCGTTCTACAAGCGGGCAGGAATTATCCCAAACATTTTTGAAATTATTTTCTCCAAATTCCGTGATATCAAACTTCCCATTTCCTGGCGAGATGGCTGTCAGATTAAAATTAATTTGAGGAAGTTTACGCTCTTATTTGAAGGCCGATTAACTTGTCATCCTAGCAATACAATAGAATATTTAATTGCCTAAATATCCGGTAATGTTCAGATTTGAATTTTTGGGTTTGACTCTTCGATTTTACTGCTTTTCTTAATGAGATACACCCAGAGACAAAAAACCTTTCCTACTATAAAGAAGAACAACTACTTTAAATAAGATAGAAAAAGTGAAGTGTCTTTCGACTGAAATGTTCAATTCCTGTTGTTTTGGTAAGCAAAAAGGGGACACCAGAATTTGTTTTAGGTAAAATATAGATTTAGTTACTGTGTTATTTTCCTCACCGGAAATATGATGAGAGTGAATATGAATATTCTTCAAAGCTTTAATTGGACACCTCGTTTGATCTCCGCTGTACCAAAGGTTCTATTGGTAAAATATTTCAAATGGATTATAAATGACCTCTGGTTTGCCGAATCAAATTTTGTATCATTTTAAAATACTTAATCTCTTCCTTAGAAAGAAATATAATTTACTGGTATCAAGATAAGATAACTTTTCTCTTAACTTGTCAGAACCATTTCAAAAGGTATTGAATTTAATCGTAAGTTATTAGGTTTTTGTTTACAAGGAAATGATCTAAATTATGTAAATTAGCCACGCGGACAAACTGTTGAAAAATTTGAACAAGGTCAATTTCAAGCAGACCTTTTTTTTTTCCCGATTTCTATCCTTAATTTCAAATGTTGTTAAACTAGAAATAGAAATAACAAATCGATAGATTCAAATTTCAGATGAATACAGAGAAGTAAATCAATACTGATTGGCGTAAACTGAAAATGTTGAAGCAGTTTTCGATACAGAGAAATAAGACGGAGACCGAGAAACTATTAAAAGGTTTAGTCGGATTTTTTTTCTTTAATTCTCTTACTTCAAAATTGCGTTTCCGCATCATGAATAATGTTTTTTCTTTCGTTTTAAAAGAACTTTAGATCTCCCTTAACATCGTCTAAAATAGATCGTGATCTTTCAACAGTAGTTTATCAGGAAAAAAAAAAACAAATTGCTTTAGTCAGCTCATTTTGTTGCTATCTCAATGGCAAGTTCTGTGACAATCAAACAATCGGTTTGTGAAAGGGCAACGATACCTGATAAGCGTTGAAATTAAGACAGGTTTTCGGGATTTAGCCTTTATTGTCAATGCATAACACTGAATTTGTGTGATGTGACGAATTTTATCCCAACATAGGACCGGGTGGAGTCAACCAACTCGGAGGTGTTTTCGTCAATGGCCGACCTCTACCGGACTATATGCGACACCGAATTGTTGAGTTGGCTCACTGTGGCGTCCGACCATCGGAGATCTCCCGTCAGCTACTCGTGTCTCACGGGTGTGTGAGCAAAATTCTCGGAAGATATTACGAGACAGGCTCGGTACGGCCCGGAGCGATCGGAGGCAGTAAACCAAAAGTGGCTACTCCACGAGTTGTGTCGAAGATTCTCGCGTACAAGGAAGAAAACCCTTGTATTTTTGCGTGGGAGATCAGAAATAACCTGCTGAGTGAGGGAGTCTGCGACAAAAGCAATGTACCGAGTGTCAGTTCCATCAACAGGATTCTGCGCAATGCAGCTTCGGAGAAAGAACAACGCACGGCGCACGAGAAAGCAAAACAGCACGTGCAACATCTTCAGCAGCAGATTCCAAATGCACCTCAGATGAATGGGTTTCAAGCTCAAATTGGTTTCGCTCTACCACACAACGGCCAGACAGCACTACCGACCACTCTTCAGACCCTTGCACAACAGCTGCCTAATCCGCATCCCGTGTCACAAGTTCCAACTCCTGTCGAGAAACCCACACACGCTCCAGAGGTTGTACAGAGCGTGGAAAAGAATGACAATGAACATCAAGGCACGCCACAAAACGGTTGGTAATAAAACTATAAAGTCCGTATTCATATCCTCGTGCATGCAACTATTTCATACCAGAGTTCATTGTAACTACTTAGCGTGATATACAACGAAGTTCTTAGAATTAAAAAAAAAATGCTATATTCCTGACTCTAAGAGAAGGATGTACCTTACCCACACATCTAAAGGCTTTCTCATAGCATTTAGTTTGAGTCATGTCATTTCCATCGAAATGCAGCTTTACGAACATCTTTAATTTTCGTGCAGGCACGGATCACAACGGGAAATCAGAAACAGAATCAAAACAGAATGGTCACCCAGAGGGCGAGATTGGAACAGTGGGTGAGGAACGCAAGAGAAAACACGATGACACACCCGTGATTGGGGACCAAAGCGACGAGGACCTCAAGAAAGAGAGCAACGGTACAACAGACGTAAATGGAAACGAAGGCCCAGACTCTAAGAAAAGAAAACTTGGACACATTGAGAATGGGCATAAGACTGAAGTGGTGAGATAGCTTGACATCGAAACATTTTATAGTAATGCGAAACTGAAATTAAAACACAGTTCCTGGCCGCACTTTTCTATATTATATGGTCTGTAGACGTGACTCATTGCCTTAATTGTATAGTTTTTTTGAAACAGGAACCTTGAGTTTCATTATTAGTACCTAGATCTCAAACCATGAATGAAGAAACTTTCTATTATGTAACATAAATTACTCATTGTAAATGCTTCAGCCTCTCACAAAGGCGGAAAAGAAAATTGTAAGCTATTGTGATAAGCTACGAGAAGGAAAGTTCCTTTTCGATCTTGCGGCATCATTAAGTTAAACGACTCCTTAGTTTGATTTTTTTACATATGATAATTTTAGTTTGTTGCTAATTATTTTCTTCTCCTTCTTCTTACGCTTTCTTTGTTAAATGTTTAATTAGCCCGTGTACACTCGCGTATCACCGACATGGATCAAGTACAACCCAGTGATTCCAAGTGGATTCGCCATTGCAAGCAGTCTTAATGGCTTGAACGCAATCGCTGGCGACCTCAATGGATTAAACGTCAACGTAAATGGCATGGGCGGTTTGAATGGTGTCAACGGGCTGGGAAGCGTTGGGGCGGTAAACGGATTGAACAGCATAGCACAGATGAACGCTGTTAATGGGATGAACGGAATGAATGGAATGGGAAATGGTTTGGGGAATGGAATGAGTCTAATGAACGGGAACAATGCCATCAATGGAATCAATGGTCTGGCGGGTATCAGCACCATAAATGGGATTAACACTTTGGGCAACATCAGCTGTCACAATGTCAACGGAATGAGCGCCATCAATGGGATGCACTCAATGAATGGGATAAATGGCCACAGCAATGGAGGAATGGCACACCCTGGTATGGACCAAGATCGGTCACTTGGACAGAACGGAATCAACGGCCACACAGAGAATGTCCACTGGTCGCCACCTTACCCTATGGTCTGTCTTCCAGATTCAAATAATTCCAATGGAATTACCCAAACTAATGGTATAAATAAACAAGATTCATTTGCACCACAGATTGCCTTTCAGATAACCAACACGCCTAGACCAGACCTTCAGAACAATTCTGCCAACTCAACCACTGTATGTACGTCGGTTTTCGCACCCATAACAACGGCAACGCCAAGAAATCACTCCCTTACCATGGCAAATCCCTTGACCAATGGCATTCAAGCCATGCAGTTTTCTCGACCAATGGCGACCGAATTTACACAGCCAATCATGAAGATGATGGCACCAGCCACATTCCTGCCATTAAGACCGTCTGGAATAACCTCCCTTGATACCATAACTCATGGGTGAGCAAACACGCAGGAAAAAAGCGATGGGAAACAAGGCAAAAGTTGATGGCGTTGCCTTTTTGAGGAATCCAAGTCCTTCGACAAGCATTTTGGAGAAAATGCGCATCCATCCTTTCATGTATCCTAAAATTTTGTCAAGCACGTAAGATGTCATTTCTCCTTCATGAGAGGTGATCTCTTTTGTTTACGACAGGGAGAAAAATCGATTTATTTTTCAAAAACATGTTCGAAACAGGAATGTTATTTTCCAACAAATTCGGAGATATCCTTTACAAGAAAGGTTACTTATTCAAATCTTATTTTATCTTCACCATAAAGGTAAGCGTTCATTATATGATATAGTCAGTATTTAGAAACACTTACACTGTGAAGTGTTTACATGTATTACGACTAACAGACCGGTCAACTTATACACGAGTTTTTTGTCCTATTGCTAGCTGATATCCTTACAATTCAGAGACCTGTTAACGTTACCTGTCGAGTCTAACCGTAGGTGCGGTTTCAGTCGTGTCTTATTCATGTTCTAACTCGCCCTCACGCAACTATAATTTGAAATGATCGTATTGAACAAACTCCAACGTCACATAAAGTATATAAATTTAAATCATGATTAGCGAACAGTCGGAAATTAATTTTACTTCCTAGTATTGATTAATATATATATATTTCGGCTTCTCTAAAAGGAAACTCTTTTTAAGCCATATATGCAAATGCAGAAAAAGTGGTTTAACCCGCTACGCTTTCAGCTGGTCATGAAGCTCGATTGGCTATAATTGCAGTGTGTCACAATAACGTATTCATTTCCCAGAAGCCACAAACATACGAAATTCCCACTGAAGATGATAATGTGAAGTTTGAAGTCAAAATATTACTGCATCTTCCTTTTTAATTTTTCCCCATCGTTTTAAACTCGTCATACCAGCTAAAACTGCTTTAGCAACTTTGAACTAACAATGCATGCATATCCTACTCATCCATTTTATTAATCGCCTTTGCCTTCGATGAGTAATTAACCAATGAAATCTGTAGTTGGTTTCTCAGTAGCTTTTACACAGTTATCATGACTTCACCAATGTTGATAAAAAGTAATAGCAAGTTTTAAAGTTTTTGTGCTTCGCGGCGCGCGCTGAAGGGCTCCGCTATTATTCTGAAGCAATGTAAAGAGAACACAAATATTCAACTGCCTAATAAGGCCTCCTCTAAATTTTAATTCACGAATAAAAAATCGAGGAATAAATTAATAATGAGTTAGTTATCGAGAGAAAAATAGTACAGGAAGCCAACTGCTTCTTGCCATAACCATGCTTGACGCTGATACAATTGTGTAGGCGCGATGATCGATCTCCTACCTTTTCAGTTTGTTAATGCTTGAGTAAGTTTGTTGCGCTTGTTTATTCTATATAAATAAGCCATTTTCACTTTCGCTTTGCTGTATAAAAGTAGACATAAATTGAGTAGTTTCCTTACAAAACAAAATCATTGAGAATGAGGTAAGTGGGTCAAACTCATGAAATGGAAGATGATAGCAGGGAAGCTTTTATCTGATTCTTAGATATTGCAGAGGAACTTTTCCAACCGAATGAAAAGTAGAAACTCAACTTCTGACCCATACACCTACAGCCAAATCAAGTGGAATGCAAGGGGAGGTTAAATTGATGTTCTAACTTGTAGGTTGCCGCTAATTAGTGTATACTACACAAGTGAATAATGCAATAATGCTTTTTGTGCGCGCTGATTGGCTGGTTCGCAAGTGATTAGTAAGTGCTGTTCCAAAAAACCGCAGAGACAAAATCGCGCGTCGAATATTGAATTTCCAACAATTTTTTGGCATATTTATTGAAATAAACTGACTACTTTTTGGTTTCTGTGTGGTATATACTAAACCAATTATTAACCTCCGTGTTGGTAAAGGTGGTGGATGTGCATCTCACTGCTCCGCTGCTCAGTAAATATTTAATGCTATTCAATTTGAGTTCTCCTAAGCAATTGTATTGGTTTTGGTTTTACGACACTGAGTCGAAAAGAGCCCTAATACTCACCAAACAAAATGCAAAGATCATCAGTTTTTCTATCCCACGACACATTCTTCCTGATTTCTTTGTAGTAACTTACGTACACCTTTCTTAGTAATAAGTTTACATTCAGCCCAACCAGTGTCATGCTAGGCATGCCGGGTAACATGGCGGCTAGCCCGCTGGGGAACTGGATGAGAATGTACAAAGTGTTTATCAAGAGAGAATATATTTTTCCATATTGCGTTATATATCAGATATTAATAAATTAAACAATGTTCTCAAATAACTTTACTTCAAATAATTCTGAATTCTTTATTTGTTATTGTTAGGTTCTGTGATCAGTGAACTTCTTTCAAAGAAAATCTTTCGCTGTCTACAAATCAGAAGTAGTTTAAGTCCATCGTTTCATTTTGTTTTTCGTTGTTTTCTCTTGGCAGAACATCAGCATACTCGTTTTAGTTTTTAAAAAAGAAAGACCATCCAAGTTTCTATGAAAGAAGTTCGCAAAATCATGCTTATTATTACAGTTGAAAGACGCATTCTTTATTAGAGAAACAAGCGAAAAAATTGTATTTAAATTCTAGAATATTGCAATCAACGTGGTTGCAGATTGTTTATTAGACGAAATGTGTAAAGATCATTGAGGAAGCTTAATGAAAAATATTTAAACCGTTTCTTTGTGTGAACTTTTTTATTTCTTTCTGTTTGATGTGGTCCGCGAAATTTGCTCTGTGTCTGACTCCACCCTGTCCTTCTACCTTTTTACCCCCAACAGCGATACTCACTTAAAATCTCTTCTTGCAATATTACCTCTCAAGCAAACATCAGGATTAGGAGAATAAAGGAAATGATTCGCTCTTGATTTTTCTGAAATTCTCCTTGTTAATACGACGGGAAATGTGCGGAGAAAAGTGTAGAGAATGTATGTGCTAATGCTAGGCTAGAAAGGGTTAATTCCAAATTCTATTTGTATCTTCGTTGCCTTTCTCAATCCTACTGATCGAACAAGTCGTGAAACAAAATGGAAGGAACGCTTCGAATTCTAGCAAAACCCAAGAATGAACACGGACAACTGCCGGGATTTCAAATCAATTTTTCTTTATTGTTCAGCTCACACAGAACTCGTCTCAGGCTTGAGACAGACGATTACACTTTCTTTCATTATCGTCCCAACTACGACAGGCAAATATTTACGATACCATTAATCATTAACTTTGAAAAAAGAATTTTAGACTTGACTGGTTCCCTTGTCGGTTATCACCTAATACCACAGTTTACTTCTTATAATGAAGGTTGTCCCAGGCACCACTGTTGCTAACTATTTTTTAATGGTAATAAGAGCGTTGTTATAGCCATAGTCGCTAAAAGCCGGTCAACCTTCGCCTCTTTACGTGCAAAGGAGTTTTCTATACGTTCGAGAGTCGTTCTGGTCAATTGAAGCTCCATGACTAACTCTAACGTTTCATGATCAGACGCCTCCTGGTACACCTTTAAGAGAGGGAGAAGGTTAGTGTGACATTCAAGAATCAAAACTCGTCATAAAGCGTGAACTAAATCAAGCAAGCGCTGCTTTCTCGAAGACGTGAACCCAGCCGGCAAGCAATCTAGATCCATCGTGGTAAATGTAATAAAAAGTTTAACAACGGTACGATTTGGACTGCATGTACATGACAAATCGAAAAGGAATATAAATTATTGAGTAACTTACCTTTCCTCGAGGCTTATCTTTCCTCTTTCGTTTGGCGACCTTCTTGCTAGGCTTTTCACACACAGTTGCAGAGTCAAGGATCTAAGTAATAAACCGATTTATTCATCTTCCACCGATAACGATGCTGTAAACTCATAGATATAACTATGACTTGACTCTTGACTTGACATGACTTGACACTTGGTTATGACTTGACACTTGACTCTGATGATGACTTCCGCACAGGTTGTCGAAACGTCAGTCACTACCACCGACAACAGTCCTTCTCAGGACTACACTCACCCGGACGATCAGACTACACCTTCAGATATAACTATCTCGCCAAGAAAAACCGTGTTGACTAGATCTTCGGTAGAAAACAAGTGCTGTGCACTTAGAGATTACAATAATAACAAGAAAGAATGTAGTCTATTACTAACGAACTTTCTCTTCGCTAGACGCGGGGGAGGGGTTACTCAGGGGCTTCATGTTTTCTGGATCCTTAAGCTCTTCAGGTAAGCATTGGACAATGGCACTGTATTGTATCTTCTGCCTCCCCCAGCTAACCGTTACTCCCGTTCTAGGCGAGATAGGAGATGGATCAAGTATTTCCGATCGAGACACTTCAGATTCCTGACGACGGCTCCCCTTTTATTGACCGGGTTTTTCTTCGACAATTTTCTCCCTTTTAGCACTAATTGACTGATGTGGTGAGGGCAACAAGCTTTATCCTTGTGCAATCGAGGCCCACAGATGGATCGAAATTTCTTACACCTGAGTGGTTTATGCTAGTAAACGGTTTTCCTGTTACCCTGGTCTTTCGTTTTCCACTACGATAGAGGCGCTGGCTACAAGGAAGCTTTTCATATTGTGATTAGCTGTACGCGAAAAGAATGTGAAGAAAAAAAGGTGTGATAAAGCGGCTTTGAAAGAGTTAAAAGAAACATCGTGCTATTTCTAGCTCTATAATCGTTGTTGTGTGAGAAGGCGGGTGTTATGAAAGTGTTAAAATTCTTGTCTTCGAGCTTAATGGAATACACACACACGCTAAAGTTTTTTTGGTGCGTGCATAGAGGGTGGCCTGGAAATCAGTAAAGTAAGGAATATGAATGCACGATCCTGTCGGCGCTTTAGTCCTGAGAATACTGTCTTTGTGTTTTTAAAACTTACCCACAACTTCAGTCTTTGTGAGCGTGTAATAGTACGTCAAAGGCAATTGTTAGGAACGGTGTCTGTCGTACAAGAACTGATATGGTTCACTCAATATGAATACAATGCGATCAGACCTTTTTTGAGAGAATTGAATGGCTGTTTTTTTCGATACGAAGGTTGCTGTTTTGTTTTGAGTGCAAGGGGGCATGGAGTTTTAAAAAAAAGGCTGTTCGCGCCCTTGCTGAGTTTTGCTTGCACAAGCTCTGCTTTCACTGTACTCCCCAAAATAAGCTTCTTTGAGGGATGTCCTCCCTTGCCTTTGATAAACCTTCGAAGCTCCACTTTCCACACGTCCCAACTAACCTGAAGTCATGATTACAATTATGCATAATTATAATTATGCATAATTATAATCTTAGATCTGGCATTTGCCGCTCCACGCGTCCTACTTGTAGGACCAAGCGCACGCAAGACTTTGTCACGCATAAGTACACCGAGTGGCTTGTATAATTATGCGTTTTAGTATTATTGGATTTATTGTATTATATTTTAGTATTATATGTTTTGTAAATAGCTCTGTAATTCAGCTATTTTGTATATTGCTGCAATGAGTCTTTATAAACAGTCTTTACCTAAGTCTTTACTATAAATATCGAAATAGCATAGAGTCTTTGCTACTCTACCGGCGGTGTAAGTGTGACGGAAAATCCGCCGCACATAGCAATGTTGTCTCAACGATCTAAAGGTGAATTTCCAGTGTCGTGTAAATTTTCTATACATAAAACGTGCGTAAGCAAATTTCCACTGCCGCTCAATAATCAATACCATACGTTTTGTTTTAACGAGCGAAACCCGTGCACAAAAGTTGAAGGCTGTTTAATTTTTCTCTGTATTATTGCGATCGCGACGTGCGCAAAACACACGTAAACACTTTGAAAAAAACGTGGAAGTGGATATAAGACAAGTTTTAGTCGACGTATGCGTTTACGCACGTGAACATTCATCTCGCTGTACGAAATATCGTTTAGCCGCAGCGACACATCATTAAGCAGAGACGAGGACGATATGTCGCTCAAAAAAAACTATAATTCGCGAAGACCTCATCAATATAACGACACTATACATCGCAGCTGTTAGAGCAATGAAGGGTGAAAGTTTCTGATGAAATTAAGGTGCTGCGTTGGTGGGGGTATCAAGATAATTTGGTTATATCAACAGAGTTGAAATTGTAAATTGGCCACCGTAAAGAGTTAGCTTTTTAAGTCTCACCTTAGTTAATATAGCCAAATGACCTAGTTAGAACAACAGCCCTGCGATATCTTATTCCAATTAAAATATCGTTCAAATATCGTCGATAAATCGCAAAAACATA